TGTGATCTATACGTCTCTTTTGCTTTATCTATTATATTTGAAAGAGATTCAAACACTTTATATCGATTAAAAGATAATTAGATCCCTTAAAGATAATTGTTTAAGCTCCATTTGGACCTAGACTGTGCTTTTCATTGTAAGTTTACATATTTTAGGGATTTAGATCAATATTTCAGTGTGGGTAGCACTTTTACCGTAAATTGGTCTAAACCCCAAAAGCGTGTAAAATTACTTTGAACACATAAGTTAAGGCCGAAAGAACGCTATAACCTCTCAGGTTCCTGTGGAGCACGGTTATTGATAAAACGTTTGCAATCAATACACACGTCATCGTCAATGCCACTTAGAGTTGTAAGGATATTGTCACGAGTAACTGTGTCTACACTTAATCCGACCACACAGAGTCCTGATAAGGTTTATCGTTGAAGTGTCCTCAGTCATTGTACCTGCCAATGTATTAAAACAAGGTCGATGTTAGTTGATGAGCTTTATTGATAATTTAAAACGTCAAGGAAATGTATTACAAAAACACATGCAAAACTCGAAGAGTCTGAAGTGGACTTGATTCAGTCGCCTGACTGAACATGCATGTACGTCACGGGAGACATGATGAAAGTATTTCTCTTTGAATTAAATTCTATTTTCAGATTATAACAGAAGGTTGGTGTCACACTTGAGTTAGAACAGTCAATATTGTGTCAATAAAACCTATTTTAATGATCCCTGTTCAACAGCATTGTTCTTTCATATATAGAGTAGACTCCCCTTAACTTCCGGTTAGATTAAACTGTAGAAAAAGTTAGGCCAGGATACATTCGTTGACCAGGTTATTACTCCTTTGTAATCTTCAAAGGACAGGTATCTGCCTAATGACTGGTCAGGTTAATTTACATGAGACCAATCAAATAGCTATCCGCGTGCCTTCAATTTCGCTATGACATATTACAGGGGTGCAGAGAGCGAAGGTGGACGTAACTCCTGGAGTAACGAGGATAGTTGGTGCCGGGAATCGTATGTCCGAGGCCTGGAAAGGGCACGAGTCAAAAAGTTGTCTCCCTTTTTTGCGTTCTCACTCATAAAGCTTGTAAATGATGTTACTTGTTACAGGTAAGCATTATCAATCAGCATAGTCTGAAAATATTGGTGATATGTTTTTCTTAGAGAGAGAATATATCGTGGCTGTCGCTGTTTAAAACATGCAATCGAACTTAAATTATGTGGTGTGAAATCAAGTGGGAGTACCTCACAATGGAACTGGTGTATATTTATACTGTTTTATATTGAACATTTCTTGTCCTTTGTGCAGGGAAACATGATTATTTGTTTCACGGAAATTGATCACGATGGTGAAGCCAAAGTCAAACATGATTAATCGGGGGAAACAAAGTATCCTTTTTCTCTATCACATGGGCAATACATATTCGGAATATTTTGTTAACGTTATGTAAATCATGCTTACGCTCCATTGTTTCCGTCTGCTTAAGTAACTTTGAACTCGGGCTTGGTGCCTCTTGCTTACTTTTCTAGAGAGATGAATATATTAAATATGACTAGGGGAACTCGGGCGAGAAAAGATCATTCTAATTAACTTCGTTTCCTCGTCATGTGTTTTTTGGTTTTAAATAGTGATGTATTTAGGGGCAAAGAATTAGATAAAGAATGGAGGAATATAGAGGAACTGGACTTGGTCGATCGTCAGCGATCAGGTAACTCAGTTGGTAAAGCGAAAGTAAATGTCATTTCACTAGACTACGTTATATACGAACTTTGTAGAAAATGTACACCCAACTAGTAGATAGTATACAATGTGGAAAACATCTATAAATGTCCTTACTCCTGACGAAAAAAAAGACTACCTTCCACTTTCAGTTTCCAGGAATTTCCAAAATTCCCATTCATATTGATGACGTCATTTATTTTAAAGCATTTTTTTAAATTAACAAGAGGCCCATAGGCCTTAACGATCACCTGAGTTATGTAAAAACTGATGTTATCGATGTTGTCAAATGAAAAAGAAATCATTTTGTAACAAAGGTAACTTGAACTACAAGTAATGCAAAAGTAGCGTGAAAGATCTGGGTAGTATATGTACTATGTGCAAATAGTGGTTCTGTCAGTCAGTCGACATGTCCCATTAGCTCAGTGGTAGAGCGTAGGCCTCCGGAACCTGGGGTTGTGGGTTCGATTCCAGCTGGGGCATCTCATCTTTCCACTTCTTTCTTCCCTATTACAGTAGAACGAGCTGTTGTTTATTTGAGTAAGATTACTGTCTAAAAAGAAAATAGCTGTCCTATCAAATATCTAATATATTGATTCAACAAGTTTTTGTGTATTGTAATTTGCCATTTGGAAGCTTTGCATCTTTTTATACTGAACATAAATTACATACAACTAAATGGAGAGAAAAAAAATTGTGAGTTGACAACATCATCTAAATTTAACACAAGTTGATATAAGAAAAATATTTGTTTTGAGCTTTTTGTGATAAAAAGGTCGCATATTTTGTTAATAATGTTAAAATTAACATGATAAACGACAAACATACAAAGTGTTGTTTAAGAGAACAACCGGACCTTTTACAAAGTTATTTATGATATAACACTATGGATGTGTACGCCATTATTTTAATCTTTTCCAGTTTATTCTTCTTGAAATAATAATTTTGCTTCTGTGCATGTGACAGACATTGCTTGTTCAGGGATAGTACTTAAGTCAATGAAGCCATATCTGAGTCTGGAGAAGAATTCCAAGATGGCCAAAGCCCAAACTGTCAAAGTATCAAACTGTCTTCTCATAGTTATGTTGGCTGTCAAGTTTGAATTATTTCCAATTGAAAATGAACCAAACATACCCAAAAGTATCATTTTCCTGTATAAAGTATAGTAAACTTCGCCCCCTCCCCAGGGGCAAACATGAAGTCTGATTGTCATGAAATTTATAATTTTGATAACGCATCTGAAGACCCTTCCATCTATGACGAGCATTGGTTTCCAGCCTATCTCAGTCTGGAGAAGATGACTGTTGAAATTTCTGGCTATATGACCCCATTTGGGGTCCCCTCAGCCCCTCGGGATGAGACAGGGTTAAAAATGTCAAAGTATCAAACTGTCATCTCATGGTTATAATGTAAATCAAGTTTGAATGATTTCCAGTTGAAGATGAACAAAATATACTCTAAAGTTGGATTTTCCTACATAAACTTGAGTAAATGTCACCCCCTCCTCAGGGGCAAACGTGAAGCTCGAGGGTCATGAAAGTCACAATTTTGATAAAGTATCTCAAGACCCTTTCACCTATGAAGAGTATTGGTTTCCAGCATATCTGGGTCTGTAGGAGAAGATTTTTAAAATTTAAGCCAATTTGACCCCTTTTAGCCATGCCCCTCAGAGCCCCTAGGGGTGGGAACCATATAATTCACAATTTTGGTGCATTTTTGACCACGGAAAGTTCCTGCAAAATTATTTACGGACGGACGACGGACAACGGACGACGACGGACAGAAGGTGATTAGAAGAATAGGTCACTTGATCAGACTTCGTCTCAGGTGACCTATAAACTATAAACTTGAATGATTTTGACCAAAACATCAATAATACGCAGGTCAATCAACAGTAAACTACAGTTAAGAATCTCCCCAAAGGCAAATCTGTTATCCTCAATAATGAGGAGTATTTGATTCCAACACCTGAACCCAAAGAAAAAAAATGTTGTTAAATGTAAGAGAATTTTACACCTACAAGGTATATAAGCCACGCTCTAATTAGCCCCTGGAGGAGCACCAGGGTAAAATAGCATCAAACTCTCATCTCATAGAGTTCATTCCAATCAACCCCTCCCCAGGAAGGAAAGGTACAGCTCAGCTCAAACTCAGCCTATTGATAAAGCACCTTTTAAGATCCTTTCCTCTAAGAAGAGTAATTCTTTCTAGCATATCCGGGTCCTATAATAAGAAGACTGTAGAAATTTCAGCCTATATAATTTATTTTATCCCTGTTGACCCTGCTCCTAACCCCCTGGGGTAGGCCAGGGTCTAAATATTCAAAGTGTCAAGCTGTCAATAGTGTTATAGTTGCAGTTGAAAATCAACAAAATGAACCCAAAAGTATTGTTTTCCTGTATAAACTGTAGTTATTAATTTCACCCCCTCCCTTGGAGGAACAGGAAGCCATGGGATAACGTAATTCATACTTTTGTTAAACAACCTGAAGACCCTTTTATCTATGAAGAGTATGTATTTATACCCTATCTGGGAACTGAGAAGAAGACTTTTTGAAATTTCAGTCAATTTTACATATTTTTTTCGCCCATCAGCCCCTGGGGGTCAGCAAGGGCTAATAACTGTATGTGCATACCATCAAATTGCCATCCAGAACCGACATTTCTAACCAAGTTTAAATGATTTCTAATGGCAATTAAACAAATGACACTCAAAAATGTGATTTCCCTATATAAACTATAGTAAAGTTTACCCCCTCCCCAGAGTGAAACATGAGACCCCAGGATCATGAAATTCACACTTTTGGTAAAGCACCTTAATACCCTTCCATCTATGAAGAGTATTTGATTCTACCATATCTGGGTCTTGAGAAAAAGATTTTTGAAATTTTAGTCAATTTACCATTTTTGGCCCCACCCCCCAGCCCCCTGTGGGCTGGGGGCATATAATTCACAAATTTGGTTGACCTTTGGCCATGGAAGGTTTCTGCAAAATTTCATTGAAATTGGTTTTTGGAGAAGAAGTTGAAAATGTAAATTGTTTACGGACGCACGACGGACAACGACGGACAAAAGGCGATCGCAATAGGTTACCTGAGAAATCTCAGGTGATCTAAACATTGAAATAATAGTCATCTGACATGATAAACAATGGATAGTCGTTTTGAAATCTACTTATCCAACCATAATATAAAATATCCGAGCATCACAGAGAGTATATTATATTTCGTATGTGACACTCTACCTTCTGTTTACACTGAAAGTGTGACGTCATTTGGTGTGTGACGTCATAGTTCAACGTACGTCGTGGGTCTACGAAACGTCAAATAGCGAAACGGAGAACCCTCAAACACGAAAATTTTGTTTTTACAACAGCTCTACTAGACTAAGAATGGAAGTACATTTTGGCCGCAGAGCGTGTATAAGGTAATGGGCCTGGACCAGCTAGCATTATGTTGAGGGGTTGGTGCCAGCCATACCACCTCGGAGATACCTGACAGCCCGCAAACAAGGCAGAAACATCCGTGCCAGTTTCGCTCAGTTGACATCAATGGTAAGCCGGGGCTTGTATAGATGTATCTCAAGTTCTTCTCTACTTAATAGTATAACGTACTTTCGCGTACTATTGACTTCTGGTTGCTATTTACAAATGTTATTTCATTAACGCGTAGTAAGTTTGATATGGAGTTACGTAACTCCCAGTGCCAAATCATATACGGACCTTGATACCACCAACATTGTCGACCGTTCAGCCCGTTTAAACAACAGTGGTTTCGTCGTTCCATCAGGTAGGTCTGATCAATACAGGAACTCGTTCCTAGTTAAAACAACCATAGACTGCACCTAAGTGACTCAATTGTGAATTGTGACACTATCGAGGCGTTTAATTACATTTGCGCTCTCTCACCCGCTGCAATATTACCTTTATTGGGATCTAGCAGTGAATACCATACAGATACAGATAACAACGTAAGCCAAACTACACCTGAATTCTCAAATGTCACAAAAACCGCCGTAAATAAAAAAATAAAAACAGAAATAATAAATGATAAATCACTACAAAGGAATATTAGTCATAACGTGTCTCGTATTTTCCCGGATATATTGGCCGTTTGTTTCCTTTCTGTTTATTTAGTCCCGCCGTTTTCCGGAATTTAAAACGAAAGCAGAAGACCTGTATTCAGGTCATGAATGAAGGTTTCAACTTCGGGCGATTTGTCAGACAATGACCTCATGTCGAGAATACCAAGAAAAGGTCGCCGACCTGGTGGTAAGTTGTTGATCATCATCAGCATCTCACAGAAGATGGGGGCTGCGCAGGTTATAGAATAATACCTTAGTTTTGATGGGGAAATGATTCGGTATTGTTCGGATGTTTCCTGTTATAGGGTTTGTTGGGGTGGTATATTCTACTCTGAAGGGAAACGGACTGTTTACCTTATGTTTATCTAAAACGTCTATAGTAACAGTACAGTACTGATACCCCCAACACATCAGGGGACGTCCAAACATACTATAAACATATGCTGCGATTACGGTGGCTGATTTGTGCCATTTCGTTGGCACAAATCAGCCACCGTAGGTAGTGATCGATTATCAGGTCCTCGTTGTTCAAGCGTGATTGAAACACTTCAGCGATACCAGTACAATTCTGCGATCGATATCATTTAAGATGCATGGGTCCCGATGATTGTCGGAAACATATGCTACCATTTTTAAAACAAAATCAAGCGTTGTGGCTATTTCTACAGTATCAATGACAATAAATCATGTACAACTTGTCAGAATTCCATCTGTTATTAACTACATAGATATCTGTCATGGATTTTGTAAAAAATCATTTGATTAACGGGAAAGGTAAATGTACAGTTGTGAATGTTTAACTGTACCCGAGGAGGAATGCAGAGCCCGCCCGGGTACTGAATCAAACGGCAAGACTGCCTCTTAATAGTGCACTGTCCGTATGCCCTTTTTGTCGTTATATTGCGTAAAACCAAGAAATGAATGACATCAATGCTTAAAAATTTAAATAAAATTGGCCAGAGTCCAATTTAATATTGTTGTTACAAACGAGTAGTCGATAAACAGACGCATACACCAGTAACAGCACACAGCACATAAGGTGAACCGGTCCGTGTAAACAATGATAGTGTTTTTAGCTACAGGTTCGTACACACGTGTATATACATACAGTTAATAACCTTATGCACTACGTACGTGCGCACTACAAGGAAGCTATCCACAGACGCGTTGAGGTAATAATACACAGACAGTTAAATGGATATTGTCGCGACAAAATAATGTGTTTGGTGATGTCTTCCTGTAGAGTCAATAGCAACATGTAATTGATTTTGTAAATTTGACAAGTAAATCACAAAAGTAAAAGAAAATGGGTGACTTCATTCAGAATTTGTTCTTCAGCATGACCTACTTTAAATATGTCTAACACAATAATATAAGGGCATGGACAACCATACAAATAATTGTGTGTCCTATCGTAGAAGCATTGTACTGACACTGAATTGCGTACATGCCGTGCGTTTGGCACTACCAGCTAGGGATTTACCGTGTCATGTGTCCAATCCACTGACATTTTTCACATACAGCCTACTGGGGAAAAGACCTACAACATGGCAATAAATCATACATAAAATTCCAAATAAAAAAAAAGATGTTGATCCAGTCCGCCCCCGGCATGCTATTATAAACTATAATGACATAATCGCATGTTTTCTAAAACAAGGTCATTTTACTATAGGGCAATGTGAGTTAACCACCTGGTTATATTATAGGTGTATTGGCTGACGAGGCTAGTACTTGAGATGAGATTAAAACTATCCTAGGTCACAGTAACGACTTTATCACCTTTCAATATTGATGCCAACTGCAAAACTGGCATAATCGATAAAACAGACCAAAGCTTAACACTAACTTCGACATCAAAAACTTGAGTACACTGACCTTGCGATTCATTATATAAAAGTCGACATAATAACCTTTGACACGAAACACCGACTTCGACATTATACACATTAGGGGGAATTCCCAGATTACGAAGTTTCCCGATGTTGGCCGATTTCGGTATACATGGGATACCTTAATTCCGTTATATGTGTGTTTGTTAATTATCATGCGAGCATCAACAGAGAAAATGACTTTTAATCTCATCCTTTGATGTTGTATAGGCTGAGTGGATTGAAACAGAAGAGTTCCCGCCACCAAGGGACGTAATACCTACTCAAGTCTACTACAATTCAAACCAAATCAACAGAACAAATTACACAAGCCGGTGTTCTAACGTAGATGGCGCTGCATCCAAAGTGACAGGATGTGACCCTTCAGATATGGACAAACCATCCTCTCTAGAAGACATGGAGGCGTACGTTTCATTCCGAATGTCTCAAGTCACCGTAGACCTGTCGTCTGCTTCGGGAGGATCTGACAATGCAATTGATACGAAAAAGAGAACTATTCCGACAACCAGTACGAAAGGTTTGCATTAGTTGTGTTTCAAAATTGATTACAATTGTAAAACATGTAATGAAACTGGACATGAGAGTAAAATGGAATATCGTCAAGCTAAACAGTTTTTTTGGGAGTGAAAATGGCCTGAACTAATTAATTATGTTAACGAATAAAAGGAAATTAAGGAATTGTTTTAAAAATAAGAATGTAAGACTTTTTTCATAACCAGGAGGATAGGAAAATTCCACGATAGGGTTTTTCAAATTTGGTAAAATCCGAGGCTTGCCGAGAGTTTTGAACCAATTTGAAAATCCCCATCCAGGTCGGAATTTCCCTATCACACACATGTGTTGGATGACAGAGTAATTTTTCCTAATTCCAATCATCAGAATTAGCTCAGAATCCACAAAAAGCCCGTCTCAATTTCCAAATCGCGGTGACGTCACGCAAGCTAAATGGCATAAAACAAAATGCCGAGTGAGCTTATGCCATAGTGCTGCGTGCATGGGTGTGTGTTTGTAGGAGGCAGGGTGTATACATTTGCCTCCTTTTGATTTCGCCGATCTGCTATCGGATTAAAAATTAATTCTACTCCGATAGAGTTTCGGAGTGGAATTAAATATCTGATGCCGACTTTATAGTGATATCGAATTGAAATACCATGCCGAAGGCACCCACCACAGCATTCCGCCCGGTCACATTATACATTATACGGGTGAACCAGTTGTTGCCATTCCCCTAAAACCTGAACGTTAATTAGGGAACAACTACCATTTTTAATGACTTTGGAATGTCCCTATCTCGGGACAGAACCAATTTCCTTCCTGACCTGGGAGAACGCTCAACATTAAAGCAAAATGTGATGCACTTCTTCCAACCAAGGTGCTAGGTAGAAAAAAAATATAAAGATCCCAAATATTGCAATGGGTTAAGCAGATTTATTTTTCTCTTTTTTGGTGGGATTGTTTTCAATTGCCGATCTGCAAAGGTGACACACATAAAGTCATGCATGACTTAGATCAAATATAAGTTACATTGAGGTAAAAAAAAAAAAATTATGAGATCAGTTGATATTCTAACGCGAATAGGATTTAAAAGAATGTTTTAGTTTTTTAGGATAAACAAAAAGCAAATATACATCATAGCGCTTATGCATTGATCGGGTAATTCAAGATGAGCACTGCATATCACAGAAAAATTAGTTGTTATTGAAATAAGAACTATTTCACTATTGAACTCAAAATTAGAAATTTTGTAATTAAGAATGACTGACTAGAATTGTGTCCCTTTTTGAGTTAAAAATTATTAAAGAAAGAAAAAAGGACCATTACTAGGAAATACGAGATAATTCTTTTGAAATAAAACTACTACTTCAATACGAGTAAACAGATTCTGAACTAACTTCACATGAGTTTTCGCAACTGTATGAAATCTAGGGCCTTAGACGAACGTTTGGATCGATCTTAAATGTCCGTAGCCGAGCTCATCTGTTTGTAGACCCACACAAGATTTGGATTTTCCCTCTTGATTACCTATTTAAGTAATCGTACAATGATTCACAAGGAGACGAGACTTAAAAGAAATACATAAATGGAATTCAATGGTGTTTAATGGAGCGTGTAGCTCTCCCCGGAGTATAACGTAGCTTCTGACGACGGTATTTTGTTTTATATAGTGGGTCGTCAGGAGGCCGGTTATTAATAGTAGTACTACCCGGAGTATAGTAGCGGATCTCTATAGAGGTAATGGAACAACACAATTTCGATTTCTTCTCCAGTTATAATGAGTTTTAGCTGGCAAACATTAGTGCAAATGATCGCCTCATGACTCGATGATATTTTACGGCTGATTTGAAGATCTTGGCCTTCAGACAGGCAGTGCCGTTTTTTTTTTCTTCACATTTTCTATCCGACCAATTTGGCAAAACTTTATACATATTTTCTAGCCATGACCCTAATTAATAATTACTATTTTTCAAAACGGTTCACAAGAGAAAATGGTAACCTGTTTTTCCTTTTGCCCGAGACATTTTCAACTTCTCAACTTCCAATAGACCAATAGCGATTGAATTGGATCTGATTACTATTGGTCAGACATTGTTATTGTCTGGTCGGAACTTAAAACTAATATCCTTTCTTCTGAGACTTGCTGAGCCAATTTTGGCTTATTTTCAATTGAACGAGATCATTTCAAACTCAACATCGTTCACAAATGTTTCTGTATTTTTTTCCCAAGTGTTGCTATTTTAATTCTGTGGGTTTACAAAAGAAAAAGAAAAAATCAGTGGCAAACATGGTCTGAAGCAAGTAGCAATATTTTACTTTTTCATAGCGTAATAAACATGTGAGGGATACATGCTCAGTGGGTCTTTTGTCTTGTTTCTTTCATACGGTCTGACCATTCTAATAACGCCATCATATGTACGTTTCCGGTATATGACATGCCATTGATACCAAATATGACCAGCAAGTGACAATGAGATGACGTCATGCTTCAACGATGAAATACAAGAATAATGGCATTTTATTAGGAATGTTTTCCATCGTGATTTGCGGTAAGGTGTTGATATATATATCGTTAGGTAAATAATGTAGTCTACATATATTATCACAAAACAATCACTAAAAAGCGAAGTAAGGAACATGTATTTTAAATTTGGTAAATAATGCAGTTAGTCAAACAAAGTAAAAAATGTCCTGCACCTTATGATCATTTCGTTCATTTTATACTCATACGTATTACTAAAGCTCAAGTTACAGCTGGGTTTTTTAAAAATAAACTCGCCGACACCCTTCATAAATCGAAATCCTAAAATACTAGTAAATTCATTTATCATGGTATTGCAAAATAATTTATCCTTCTTTCGCCCCTGAGAGTGAGTGCTGTATTTCTATTGTATTCAAGTGATATATACGTGTATGTTCTAAACGTATAAAGAGGATATTTAATTATTTCCCTTGAAATACGATCATCCTCGAAGTTCCAGCCGTTGCGCTGGAAGAACATATAAGAGTGTAGCCGCTTAAATGTCGAGGATGGAATACCATATGTACTTCATGGGTGTGGTAGAATGCTGGTATTTCTCACGAGAGCGAAGAGCTCAAACGAAAATATTGGTATAATCTGTCATACGAGAAAAAATGATACTAGTTTTTTTCTGTGTTGTTGCAGTAATTAGCTTATAAATATTATGCTAGTTCCATGACTTATATATCACAGACGAATTTGAAAGCAAACCTTTAATGCTATACTGATGGCTACATGCAATGTAGGTATATGGCAATACAACAGAAAAAGTTGAAAAGGTTCGCCAAGTGTATTGTAATCAATTGTTTTGACATGCAAGGAAGTCATTTAGGTCCTAGCTATCCAAAGCCTGGTTAGCTTGACAAAGAAAAACTGTAAAAATTTTATGTTCAAATAGTTCGCCGGAATCTATTTTTCGCGGACCCAGGTCAGGTGGCAAAAGCTTGAAATGGTATGTACGGTTGGGATGGATAACGCCAAAATCTATTTTACCGTAATCTAGTGGCCTTGGTTTACAGTGGTACGGTCACGATTGATATTTCGCGCGATTTGTGTTTTTCGCGGGGAAAAACATTACCGCGAAAAGTAGAACCCCATGAAATAAAATTTACACAGTGCGCAAATGTTTTTATAAGAGGGTTAAGTCCCAATAATCAAGACACTTCTGTCTTTTATAGAATCGACCCAGCGTCTCCTACAGCTAGTGGCAGCTACATGATCAATGCTAGGCTCTATTACACGGAGTATTTATATATTTTATATATATTGTATGTTTAATTTTTTTTTAAATTCAGCATTAAAATCGTAGGTGAAAGCTGTCTCAATACTTATCCTATTATCTCGAAAACAGGCGTAGTATAAGACTGTTTCGAAAAAAAAATGTAATGAAATACTTTTTTTATTGCACCAGCTACTAAACCCAAAAACTAAGCCGTCTGGAATCATTAATTTCTAAGGAATGAAATCAAAATTCTGATAGATGTTTTGACTTTGCAATATATAACCGTAATTAATCTTAAATCAACATCACTGACGACAACACACATCTAACACTACATGACTTTTGTAACTACATCGTTGATACCGGTCGCATGGAAAATGTGAAGCGCCAACATGTCGCGTGGCGTGGTAAGATTCTATTTTAAGGCGATATTCTTTGCGTACTTTCAGAGAGGTCTCTTAGTATTACGACCAATTTGAACTTTTATTAGACGCTTTTGTGAAGTTTTATAAGGGAGCGTTTGCATGTGAAACAATGCGTTTGATATATGCTATCCTGAAGTAGCCTTCTAATGTCCCTACAATAGAGCAACAGTGCCTTTCCCCTTAATTATACAGCGATAAGTATGGTTACTGCATTCAACCCATGACTACAGGAACTATACGTAAACAGGTAGCCTAACTATTTTTTAAACGCCCGTCGAATGACAGGTCGTGTTATGATATCACGTGAGCGGACGGGCGGATGGGCGCGAACGGTGTCCGGTCGATTTCTCGAGTACTTTTCTACGGATTAACTTTAAGCTTCATAGGAAGGTTCATTGCCATGATAGCTCGGACAAGTTCGACAACCGTAACTATCAAACCGTAATATACGGAGTTATGGCCCTTTATTCAATTGCCAAAAACAGTATCCGCTCGATATCTCCATTAGTTTTCAACGGAATAACTTTAAACTTCATAGGAAGGTTCATTCTCATGATAGCTCAGACAAGTTTGATAACCACCATTATCCAGCCGTTATTAATGGATTTATGACCCTTTATGTACAACTATACAGACAATTGCTCATTCAATGTATGGCTAATACTAATATTAATGAAGCGTTAAGACCAAACACTATATACAACCTGGAGTAACACCTTGAAAACAACAATATGAGACCTACCGTCGAAAATTCTTAGGCAATACGCCAGCTCGTAAATATGTCACGTATTTAATAATTGCAGTGTCCTGACAAGGAAAACAAACACAAATGCTCTCACTTTTGATTTCAGGAAAGCTTTAGTTTAAGAAAATTTAGGCACATTTCTGTTTTTAGCTCACCTGGCCCGAAGGGCCAAGTGAGCTTATCTCATGGCGCAGCGTTCGTCGTCTGGTGTCCGTCGTCCGTCAACTTTTTCCTTTAAAACGCTACTAGTCCTTAACGCAATTCTTGCCCCACGCTCTAGATAAACGCTCTATAACTTGTACAAGAAATGAATGTAGCTTGTTGTAGTTTCAAGTGGCAATGATGTCGAAAAGGTGTTTTCGAAAACGGTGAAAATGTCTCATTTAGTCTCTTTTAACCGACCTTAAAAGGATTTCAAAATTGAATAAAAGCTTATTAACAATTTGGGTAAAGGACACCAATAAGATCAACTATGTCATTATCATTGTCACAAGATGTCGATTAAGCGGTATTTTTTCTCTCTCTCCAGATTCGTCCGGGCTTTAGATATGCTTGTCACGTAATGTGGAGGGGAGGGTAATGTTTCGTGTAAGGTAAAATCTAGCAATTTAAATGGAAACATATAAATTTTGTTGCTTTTTTGTTCTAGGTACGTCTGGAACCTATAGTGATCAGAAAACACAGACTTCCGCTAACAGAAGACGATCCGACAACATGTTTGGTCAAGGTGGTGAGTACGTTATTAGTGAGACGGATAAAGAACACAATTTTGCTCCGACTGAGCAAGATGAGGACTCAAGTGCATCGAGTTCCGTATCCATGGAAACGAAATGCCATGCAAGCGACACAAAAAGGAGTAAGACAAACGCCTTTGTTGATAATTTGCAGAAAGATAAGGAAAAAAGAAAACCTTTACCATTCAAAACACAAAAGTCTTCTTCACAATTAAAAAAAAAGCTGCATTATGATCAAGGCAACAAACAGGATGGCAGAAAACCCGTCAATCCAAAAGAAACGTTACACTCAATAAGCGTCACTGACAGTGGATCGAAGCCTAAAATTACAACATTGTTTGTGAAATTAGCAGAAACCATAAGGGAGGAAGATATGAACATTTTGGGGTATATTAAACATCGTCTACAAAACAAGATGGAATTTACATTAACAGGCCAAACCGTCGAAACACATACTGGAAATACAATCATCAGTCTACAGTTCCCAAGTAGACGTGCTGCTCAACGCCTTGAAGCTGATCTTAAAACAGATGATGCCAAATCCGAAACAAAAATCTGCTGTTTTTATTCATTTGAAGACGCAAGCAAGACAACTATGTCAACGAAATTGAAAAGAGATGGAATGCTCAATAATTATGTAAGGGAAATGACAAAAAGAGCAGCTTCGTCTTTAACAAAGCATAAAGCAAAGATTGATGAGGTGACAGAAAAACTGAAGAAACTAAAGAAGTCCAAAGATAAATTTATGTCATTAGAGGAATACTTCGTTGTGGATTCTGAAAGACAAGCATTGAAAGATAAACAAGAGGAACTGGAACTTCAACAAAAAGAGTTTCAAAACTTTATTACGTCGGCTCATCAAAAGTTCGTTGAAATGCTGGACTCTGCTGTATGTGACAAACCAGCTATTTCAATTATGAAAGCTTTTGGCGTGGAATGTAACAGACTTGATAAAGCCTTACCGATGTACGCAAGGAGATCAGACATACTTGATATTGTGAAGAACAATCAGGTGTCTGTCATCATTGGAGAAACAGGATCAGGAAAGAGTACGCAGATGGCTCAGTACCTTTACCAGACCGAATTTGCCAACGCAGGAATGATCGCTTGCACACAACCTCGTAAAATAGCCGCCATCAGTGTTGCTACTTACGTTGCTTGCGAAATGAGTTCATCTGTTGGACAGGTTATCGGGTATAAGGTTGGAATGCAGGAAAAGAAGACGGCACTTACAAAGGTGCTATTTATGACCGATCATATCCTATTGCAGGAATGTCTGAAGGACAGGAAGCTTTCCTCTTTTTCCTGTATAATCATAGACGAAGCTCACGAAAGAAGTATATACACTGATCTGTTACTCGGTATGCTCAAAAGCTGTCTTACCGTCCGCACTGACCTCCGTGTTGTGATCACATCTGCTACCATTGACCCTGAGGTCTTCGTCCAGTACTTCGGACAATGTCCAGTACTACCTGTGTCAGGAAGAATGTTTCCAGTAGATATCATATGGAAAGAACAAACTGCTGGTCAAGAATCGTTTTCAAACCACATAGAAGAATGTGTCAGGAAGGCAATTGATGTGCATTACAATCAACCTGAAGGAGACATCCTGGTGTTTGTTACCTCTCCACTAGAATCAGAAAAATGTTGCGAGAAATACAAGGATTACACCAAAGGTAAACCTCAGAATTTTGTTTGTTTACAACTACATGGAAAACTTCAGGCTGACGAACAAAGAAAGGTATTCGACCCCCCTTCAGTAGGTAAACGCAAAATCGTGTTCGCTACCAACAGTGCTGAGACGTCGGTTACCATACCCGGCATCAGATATGTTATCGACACTGGCTTGGTCAAGGAAATGAAGTACGATGCAAAGCGTAAAATGAACACGTTAAATGTTACAACAGTGACGAAAAGTTCAGCCAATCAGCGAAAAGGTCGTGCAGGACGAACTGGACCAGGTATATGCTACCGACTGTTCACAGAAGATGAATATGACAGAATGGAAACGAATATGGTTCCAGAGATACTACGAGTGAATCTTGGTCAGGCAATGTTGAAACTGATAGAGCTCAACATTGACCCACTGGAGTTTGATTTTGTTATGTCACCTTCCGCGGAATCTATGGAGAGCGCAATGGAAACTTTGGAAGATATTGGAGCAGTTTCAAAGAGAAAAATCACAAGTCTCGGAAAATGGATTTCGAAGCTTCCCCTTGATCCAAAACTAGGCGTGTTCATTTACGACTCATTGGAAATTGGAGCTGGTCTTGAAGGAATGGTAATTGCAGCAGCTGCCAGTGGATCCTCAATTTTCTTTCGAGTAGGAACTGCCGAGGAAAAGGACGTTTCTGACCTGAAGAAGATTCCATTTTGTCATGTTGATGGCGATATGTTGACAAATTTGAACGTATTCAGGGAATGGAGCAAACAGCCAGAGAAATCAAAAGGGAAGTGGTGTTACAAAAATTCAATTAACGGCAAAGCAATCAAAGGAATACGAGATATCGTGAATGAAATTCTCACTACACTTAAAAGAGAAATGAAAATAACCGTACCATTCAAGTTTGAAGAACCTGCAAAGATTGACCTTTTGATGATAAAACCTCTCTTGAAAGTTTACCGGCAGAATATTAGCCACTACCTTGGTCATCCGAAAGCAGGTTATGTACTAGTCACGAAGGACCAAAGAGTAGAAATTCATCCATCATCAGCTTTGATGTCTTTGGCCAGTCAACCAGAGTGGATTGTCTACGACCAGGTGATGAGAACATCAAGGGACTTTGCGATGGCCATTACTCCGATCAGTGAAGATATTGTAAAAAGGGGAATCAAAGAAGGAGTTCTTGATGTGGATCTAGAGGAAGCAAAGGCAAAACGGATAACTCCTGTTCATAGAGAATATGTCGGATCAGAAGTGCTCCGGCAAGTCGTTGGTCCAAGGTACACATATCTCCGAGAGTTTGAAGATAAATTAGTACAAAAATGTCATGGATCTCTTGTGGTGGTGGAGGCTGACCGTAACAATGGCGAGCTGAAGATATTCTCAAAATTGTCCAATCAACAAACACTGGACGGTTCGTTAGAAAACGTGCTTAACCCTATCAAAAGTAATTTCATTGACGAGGAAAGAGAAGAAAAACTTGGCGTCAAGTCGACAGACCGATCTGTTAGAGCTGTGGTAGGGGCTGGAGGCTGTACAAAGACTTTGTTTATGCCTGATGAGTACAATGTCGTAATGATACATTGTGCTGTCAACAAAAAGGAGGAATTTGGATACGATGATGTGTATCAACACTTCAGTGAATTTGGAAAAATAAAAGAGTGCAAAATGTATCATCACAAAAAGAATGCACCGTCTCTATGGGGTCAGGTAACTTACAAGAAAACAGAAGACGCAGTTAAAGCTGTCGCAGAAACACGAGGAAACCCAGATCTTTCTGCCCGACCAAATAGACGAATGTCAAATGATAGGTCCGAGAAGTTCAAAGTCCGGATACAGTGGTGTCGGAGACGTTCCCGAGGATTTGCCTTCGTCAATTTTGCGTCCTTTTTAGATGCTGACGATGCTATTCGACGGAGTGACATCCTAGTAGGAGACTCCTTTGCTAAGATAAGAAAAGCTCATCCTTCGCCAAATCAATCAGATGAAGGTAAGGTGTTTGTTGTCGGACTAAGCAAAATGGTTGATGAAGACGTTTTAAGGGAAAGTATAGCAAACGCTGGTGATCTTGATCCTAATACAGATATCGAAAGGGTCACAGTTGTAAGAGAAAAAGTTCCACTGGAAAAGAAGGATTTGATTGACACAATGAAAAGACGACTGTGTGCTGAAATAAGTAGTTATGTCGCACCCGGTTCATACGAGTTGGAGCTAAAACCATTACGAGAAGCCGACCACACCTTCTCTGCATTCGTAACGTTTGATAATCCTCAAGATGGCGAAGGAGTGTGTTATAAAATGGATCATTCATTCATAATGAATAATCAGGTTGTCTCTGCCAAGCCAGTTCTGCATTGTTCCTTGTATATCCCGAAGAGAATTTACGAAATGAGCAGCGACGCTATAGATCAATGCGTCTTGGATCTTGAAGAGGACGGAGTTCGGGTGAAGACAAAGACTCTTCGAAACGAAAACGTAGTCGTTGATATCAACACAGACGACGTAGAAACTCTTGTCAGGGCTAGACGGTCTTTTCAAGACATTACCCAAGGGGAAATTATCGAGTGTGCAGAATCAACTTCGTTGAAGTTGTTATTCACATGGGAAGGTAGGAACAAGTTAAAGCAGATCATGAATCAAACAGGAACACTCATCCTTACAGACAACAGGGTAATGTCCGTCTCCATCCATGGGCTCCAACAGAATCGACAAAAGGCAAAGCAAAAAATAGACGAATTTCTTTTGATGCTTTCAACAGGCAATTCTGAAGTGATAGACTTAAAAGGCGAAGGAAAACCACCTGGAGTTTTGAAGGCAATTCTGATGAAATACAAAACTGATCTCTCTGGATTGTGTCAGGAGACAGGCTTAGTTGCTGCTCGCCTGGATCCAAGAAAACACAGAGTGACATTGTTTGGAGAAGATGATGCCGTCACCAAGACAAATGCAATCATCACAGATATCATTGCAAATTTGTCCCCCGATGGACTAGAAAAAACCGATGAACCAGAATGTGTTACTTGTTTTTGTCCCATACAGCAAAAAGATTTGTACCGAGTGGAATGCTGTGGTCACCCATACTGTAAGGAATGTCTCCAGGTTCAGATCCAAATGTGTATTACCAACAGAGAATTCCCTATGAAATGTGAACAGGATGAGTGTACCACTCCATTTACGTGGCATGATATCATTAATCTGTCGAAAATGGGTTTTGTCAAAGTCTCTGAATTAACTGATTCGTCAGTCAGTAAATTTCTTCAAGGAAATAAAAAATTTCGCTTTTGCGTAACGCCCGACTGCCCTGTTGTCTACCGCGTAACAAAGACTGGTAAGTCATTCATCTGTCCAGAATGTGACATCAAGATCTGCACAAGTTGCCAAGTACAGTTCCATGATGGCTTAACATGTGCCATGTTCAAGGTAGAGGGAAATGAAGACGTGTCAATGAGAAGGTGGCTCGAAAAGAACAAAGCGAACCGAAAAAGATGTCCAAACTGTGCCACTCCTATAGAAAAGAACGGTGGATGCAACCATATGTCCTGTTTGACATGTGGAAAGCATATCTGTTGGTTGTGTCTGAATTTTTTTGATGATAGTGGTGCATGCTATGGGCATCTCGATAAAGCTCACGGCAGTTTCGTTTGAGAAAGTAAATTATTGAGCTATTGTTTGATGATGTTTGACAAAACATCCATTATCGTGAACTGTATATAAAACACTTGGAGTCGGTACACATGACAGATCAGTAGCATGTGATGTAACACGAAGATACAATCATTCGTGAACATGTGTTTATAGACGAGTGTCAAGCTGCCTTGATTCTGTAGTTAACACACTGCATTCAGGGACCTCCTCTTGTACATAATGAGTAATATTAGTTCTTTATAGTTTTCACAACGTAGACCGGATCTATTTTCAAGAAAGTGACATAATAGACGTCTGAGGAAACTTCATATCCTTCTTAAATGTACTTAAGTTGCTTATTTTCATCTTTACTTATGACATGACCATCATGAACGACTAATTATTTAGCCACGCGATAAGGTGACGATTTTGATTTTGTTATCATGAACTCTCCATTTCTTGATAGTAACATCCTTTCTTCTCAAACCTGTGGTGTTAAATGTGACAGTTAATTCGATATTCGCTAAGTTGCTCGGGGTATCATGAAGTTCCTTACCGATGTCGAATACTGACGGATTAACATAGACAGTTTAACGTAAAACATACAGGTGACTGTACCTTTAAAATATAACTGATTTAGAGAGATAGAAGTTCGTGAAGACTAGGGAAGTAGTTATCTGGTTACTGTCGTTACATCAAATAGAAATATTTTATCACATACCTGTTGAATCTTGTTATAGTAAAACAAACAATTTTCAGACCATGAAATACAATGTTCTGTATTGCACATGTGCAATACGGAATGTTGTATTTACCTACTAGCCGGAACTACCTTTTATGGGAATCCCCTTGTCATGGCGAACTGTACCCGGTATTTGCAAAAAATATCAAAGTTTATAAAATCTTTGAATAGATCTCTACCAAATACGGAAGGTGTGTGATAAAAGCAAGACCACACACTTGTGTTTTTCTAACGAATCAGAAAGCACTCATTGACTGCGCGGATGTATGTATTCGTCCGCGCAATACACTCGTGCTTTTTGATTCGTTAGAAAAACACAAGTGTGTGGGGTTTGCATATTTATTTCCTTGTGCGATATGAATTTCCGTGTTGTTTGATAATGCTTGTTAGCGTGCCTCGTGGCTTTGTTGTTTCTAACTGGACTTTTACTTTGAGTACGTATGTTTTTCCTGGATTTGACCTAGATTTTGCAAGTGATGTAAACTCCAAAAACAACCAATAGTTTTTCTTACGCGTCAGGAAATATTTCTAGAATACACTGTTTAATAACTGTCGGGTCCCTCTTACTAAACATTAAATGTGTTATTCTAAACTTATTTATAATGATATGCAGTTTTCTAGTGCTTGAATTTAACGAAACAAATATAAAAACATGCATATAATCTTCTGAAATCATTTTATATGTGTATAATACTTGGTAGAAATGCTATAATGATACATATGAGATATATTTGTAAATGCAGTGAAGTGATTCAAACACAAAGTTGATGACAATTGTTTTTGTACTTTCGTTGTTCTTGCTACTTTTTTTCTAATCTGAGTTACACGACAGTTAAATATTACTTTTCAAAGCATGTCAAATATATCATTTTCATTATTTTCTTATCCCAAAGAGAATGTCAGAGACCTTATGAATTTTGATTATTTGTATGGTATATTTTCCTGCTATAAAATGGAATAAGATATCAGTCTGTAAAAATTCTATCTATGTTGGGGCAATTTTTATTAATTTTTGTTAATTGCTTGAAATATATATTTAGTTACTCAGTATAAAAAATTACTTTATTCAACTAGATGTTTAAAAAAGCCCAAAGAATATAGATACTGGTTAGCGAAGACGACCTCATAGTTTTAAACACTATTCAGTGTGTACACATCAGACGGCCTTAGTGGAATGGACGTTTGACACTTGTTTATTTATAGAGAACATTTGGGACACGTCGGACAGGTCAGTTTCATTTTAAATCATGTCACAGGGCGTGATTGAAATTAAAGAGGTAGCCTAGTATGTATTATTAGCGTATATGTTGCTTGGACATTTATTTCATATTTAAAAAACAAAAAAAACAAAAAAAACAGAATATGTTTATTGTACTTTTTTGACTGCAAAATATGAAAGGAAATATTTTGCAGTAGGATATTATTTGTAAAGTGGAATGTAAATATATTTGTACACATACAAACCGCAAATGTAAATATATCTGTACACATACAAACCGCAAATGTAAATATATCTGTACACATACAAACCGCAAATGTAAATATATCTGTACACATACAAACCGCAAATGTAAATATATCTGTACACATACAAACCGCAAATGTAAATATATCTGTACACATACAAACCGCAAATGTAAATATATCTGTACACATACAAACCGCAAATGTAAATATATCTGTACACATACAAACCGCAAATGTAAATATATCTGTACACATACAAACCGCAAATGTAAATATATCTGTACACATACAAACCGCAAATGTAAATATATCTGTACACATACAAACCGCAAATGTAAATATATCTGTACACATACAAACCGCAAATGTAAATATATCTGTACACATACAAACCGCAAATGTAAATATGTCTTATTTTTCATATGTTATTTTGTTATATTCAATGTAAAAATCTGAACCATGCTATCAATCTATCTCATCACATCGAAGTGTGATGTTGTGTGCCTTCGTTTGTACTTTTGCTTAACCTTATTTCTCTCACGTAGTAGGGAAACATCTATATAATGTGTTATACATCTATCTATTAGCTTCCTTACCTACATGTAGTACTATCAATCTTTTTTGTTGGATTGTACATCATCTATTAATCGTGTACTTGTAACATATGCTTAATTGTGCATTCAAGTACAGTTATAATGTTTGTTTAACTAGACCTTCATAATCTACATACCTCTGCCAAAAATAAAACTGCAATGGGAATCGTTTCTTATTCACATGACTTTTTATAAAAGTCATTTTTGAAAGAAAATACCTTGCAGTACATTTTTGTGAAGAAAAAAATAAACATAACCAAAATCGTGTTCCGAGTGTAAAAGATTCAGCTGGTCTTTGTCTGGATTCGAACCCGGGACCTCAGATTGTTATTCCTTCACTTAAAGCAATCGAGCTACCTGGTCAACGGATGTATCCTGGCCAAATTGCGCCACAGTAATATTCAAAACAAATTCAGGGGAAGCTACTTTATACACAAAACACAATGGCAGTCTCAAGTATTTGCAGGGTTTTTTGCAGTTTATGAGGCACGGAAGTCTAGTGGTAGGACGCCGGGCTCGTGACCGAAGGGTTGCGGGTTCGAGTCCCGGCACAGCATTGTGTTGTATCTTTTAGCAAGATTCTTTACTCCGCTTGTTCCAGTCTACTCAGCTGTAAATGAGTGCGTGGTTGGGCAGTGCTAGCATTGTAGAATGCTACCTGTTAGCGCCGAAATGGCAGCTCCGGCTGTATGCTCCCAAAGGAGTTGGGAAAGATATTGACTGGTTGCAAAGGCCCTATAACCACGGATAATAATTTATGAACCGCTTTGACACGGCCTACGAACTAGGATGTGATAAAGCGGTATATAAGAACCTCACATTATTGTTATTATTATTTGCCTGCAGCGGGACACGGATTATTAAAATAGTTATAATATGCATATATCAACTAAAGGTGCAGTGTTAGCCATATCATAATAATGTTGGTAAAGGTTGATTTTTGCATCTGTTGAGAATATCAGTTGCATTGTTACCAAGAAATGTACACACAGTTTTGGTTATACCAGTTCTAGACGTTTGTTTCATGTGTTAGTCAGATCAGTTATGTTCATAAAGTTACAGTGTTGTTTGAACTAGTTTGATAATATGTTTAGGGTGTTAATTAATGTATGGATACAAATAACAAGTGTAGTTTTATTCGTAGTACTATAATATTGGTACACTAGTTAAACTAGTACCGTACATCTGTTTAGAGTGTTTATTAAACCAGTAATGTACCTGGAAAGCTAGTTTAACTAGTTCTTTGCATATTTGTATTGTGTTACTAAAACCAGTAATTGACATGTTCATCAATTACTAAAGGAAACTATTCAGGATTGTACAAAATATAAAGTGTGTAAAACAAAAGGAGTCTGTTCAGGATTGTATTAAATAAAAAATGGGTAAAACTAAAGGAATATGTCGAGGATTGTTCTAAATATAAAGTGTGTAAAAAAAAAAGAGTCTATCAATAATTGTTCTAATTATAAATTGGGTAAAACTTAAGGAGTCTGTCGAGGATTGTACTCATTATAAAGTGCGTTAACTAAAAGAATCTGCCTAGGCTTGAACTTAATATTGAATTATCGAATTTAAATAAATTAAATTAAATTCTATCAAGAATTATTCGAATTATAAAGTGGGTAAAGTTTGAGGAGTCTGTCGAGGACGGTTCACAATGTATTTATTAAAACTGGTGGAGTCTGCGGAGTTTCAATTACGAAGTGGGTAAAACTCGAGGTTCTGTAAAAAAAATATATACTACTAACGAACTGAGTGAAACTCGGGACTCCATAAGTAACATTCCTTACCATACAATTGATATTGATATAAAAAAAAGATAGTGTGCTAAGATTGATGACAAGATTAATACATTGATATGTTAAAAGGACTGACAGAGTACCTGGTCACATGCAGGTTTGCCAGGGTTTGTTATTGCCATCCGGTTTGTACCTTTGCAAATTCTGTCGTATTTATCTCTCAAACTGACTTAAAATAGGTCATAGTTAATAATGTTTTGTCCAATAACCAGTGTAAATTAGTCTAAATATTTGTTAAATAGAACATTTTGGGTTTGTTTTAATTCAATCATTTGACATTGAATTCTGACGTAATAAGTATGATAAGTAAAAAAAAAAAAAAATCTTATACCAGATTTTGAATATGACATCATAACACTTGACACAAACCTGGTATTACCATTCAATGATTATAATTTGGATGTGATAGATAAATTCCTTCAATAAAATTAAGTTGTTAATTGATTGTATTTTATTCCGTTTTGTTTTCTAGCTCGTTATCAAAAAATGTAATACATTATATTGGTGAAACATGTTTAAAATGTAAAATGTGCTCAATCCACACATCATTATACCAGATCATTTGTTATTCTCGATGGCGCTGCAGATGTCATTTCATTTCATAATTTATCTACACTTCATACAATTTAAAGTATACCTATATATATATCATAGCGAAAGAAAACATATATGGCAATCGGTTTAGACTGGGTTGTATTTGTTCGCACCTCAGACAAGGATATTCGACTTATACCCCGTGATAATGCAAGATCTTTTTAGGTCACCTGATCTTTATCTCAAGTGACCTATTACTATCCGTCTTCGTCCGTCGTCGTTTGTTAACATTTTATATTTTCAACTTAAGCTGAAATACTATCGAAGGGATTTATTTGATACTTCATGGGAATGTTACTGACATCTCCCTGACAAAGTGTTGTTATTTTTCGGGTCGATTAGAAAACCAATATGGCCGCCACGGCAGCTATTTGGAAAAAAATCTATTTCAAAATTAAAGTACAGTTATACTGGGCCGATTGAACTAAAACTTGGTAGGAATGATC